CATTGAGACTAACCCGATATTAATAGAACTTTATCAACAGAAGATTGACAAAACGCTATCCAAGTTTTGAGATGAGTGAAAATTATCGGTAATTTTGATTGAAGTTATCCTAGATATGATCGAATCGACTTGAAACTGGTCCGGCAAGATTTGGCTTTCACTTCTGCATCAAACTGTATATAAGACTTTCAGAAAATAAGAACTAGTCGATGTCAACCTTTTACGCATCTCCCTTCTTTGGCATGTTGTCTTTCAAAATTTGTCAGAACAAGAACAATCAACATTATCAGATAAGAAGAAGTGTTCAAAAATAAAAATAGGATCTGCAACTACGACTCTTAATTCTATTTCTGAAATGAAGTAATTTATTAAAATGAAGCTGGAAATTCAGAATAGAAAGAATGATGATGCATTAAATAGACATTTTCTTCATGTTAGTTAGGGGTAACCAAAAGTTCTCAGAGCATTAAATAAAAATATAAAGATGCAGAAATATTTTCAATTTTATTTTATCGAATGTTGAGAAAAGTTGCCATGATTATTTATATCAAGTGCAATCCTTTCTAACAATTTAGTAAAAGTTTTTTTGAAGTCTTTTTCGAAAAAATATTTAGCTGCCCTGGAAACCACTTGAGCTAATCATATTTCATTTATTTAATCAGTTAAACTACGTTCGATAAAATTAGTTAGCCACAAATTACATAGTAACAGGCTTGGCAAATGTGGCTGCTATGACATTATATTGATGTCTTCTTCTGTCGAATAATTAATCACTTCAGATGAGTATGAAGTCAACGATCATCTTTAAGCAATTTTGTACATTTTGAATCTGATATCTATGTTTGTTTCCATATTTCATTAACAGAAGACATCAAATAATTTTCAATATAATACTTGTGATCTACAGTCTTGCCTTTATCTAACTCAGGGCTATTTGATATAATGAATATACTAAACAAAGTTTTGCTTCACATCTTTCTCCACGAACAATAGTCTTTGACAATTCATCTTCAATAAACCAGTTAGCATCAGATGATTTATGACTGACCTATGTAAAATAAATCCATATCCCATTACTAGTAATGCTAGAATGCAACTGACATGATCGAAGAAAATTCCACTAAATTTTTAAAACAACTGAAATATGATTGGTTCATGTGGTTTTCAAGGCAGCTAAATATTTTTTCGAAAAAGACTCCAAAAAAACTTTTACTAAATTGTTAGAAAGGATTGCACTTGATATAAATAATCATGACAACTATTCTCAACATTTGATAAAATAAAATTGAAAATATCTCTGCATCTTTATATTTTTATTTAATGCTCTGAGAACTTTTGGTTACCCCTATGTACAAGCTACAAAAATCTAATAAGAAAACAGTCTACTCAATATTGTCAACTTAAAGAGCTTGAAAAGCGAGCTTTACGATTGCGCCAGAAAGCTGTATTCAGAAAATTATTGTTTCATCTACGCGCTAAATGGCTACATGAAAAAATTGAGTTCTATGTCATTCGACACACTATTGAATTGGGCCACAAGATACTTTAATTAACGTAAAACAATAATTGCAGCGGTTCTTGACATGAGGTGTGCTATATGGCGGACCTAACGGGCCAAAAAATCTTAACCTAATATTATTATCTTGAGAATTAGCATTTATTCCTAACTATTTTCCATAAGTTTACTTTATACTTTATCACAACTCATTTTTTTCGTATGTGTGATCTCCCTCAAAGATCGGAAATCTTTTTTTTATCACCTTTCTGCTAGAAATCTCTGAAATATTTTCTGAAAGACCTAAAAAAACAACTTTCTGCAGTCATTCAACTAAGACGAATAGCTAAGAACAGAACACTTTGACATTCTCAAATCTGTTTCGACACACATCAGTATTAATAATTGGGACATTTTTGCGAAATATGCATCATCCATATCAAATGTTTCCTACCCCAAGAAACATCTTATTTGCAAAACAGGCTCAGGTACCTATGATTTTCGGTATACCTTAGAAATATTAATTGGATTCTTCTTCGAATAAATATATCAGAAAATTAAATCTTTTACTTCACAGATTATATCTCAGATTACAACGTAAAAGCATAAGAATCATCGCTTCTCTTCAACGGTGAGTCCATCTCGAACAGCTAAGCCTTCTGTGAATCATTATTCTTCGAGTACGAATTTATCAACACTAAGTCAAAGGGAATCGACAGGCAAGAACAGCGGCAAGTTAGTGACACTGACAGGAGCAATTTCGATTTATCTATTGATAAAGCATGCAAAACTGTTTCTGTATCTATAATTTTCTAATTATGCGATCGGTTATTTATTTTAGAACTGGGTGTGGGTCGTTGTGTTTCACTTCGAAAGCCCAAAAGTAATTATAAACACAAATAATTTAGAAATGATAAAGTTTCAAAGCGCATCTATTGACTATAAAAATTGTTGGAATTGTGATTTCTTCATTTATTTGATATTTTTTTAGAGTAAATTATTTTAAAAGTTCTGACAATATAACATAAATTTATAATTGTCCGAGTTAGTGAGTTTCACACTTTGTCTCCTCAAGAGGCCTCAATGACAAGTTTTAGACATAGAGTTTTCAAGACAAAGAAAAGAAAGAATAGTGAACAGCCCGAATGCGAAGAATCCCCAGTCGTGAAAAAAATCGCTTATTAGATTTTATTTCAAGAGTTAAATAAACAATTCTGATCGAAAAGTTATGAAGATGAATTAGAACAAATAGCAGAGAAATATGATGTATTTAATTAAATTTGAGTTTAATATTGTTTTTGTAACAGAACGAACAGAGAACGAAATAGTCAACAATTATATTAGTAATCGTTTCAGCCATGATTAGAAACGAAAATTAACTGTTCGAGCAATCAATATAAACACTTAAGCGGTCTAGCTGTGTTTCTATCGTTAAAATAAATAGCTACTGAGGATTCCAGTTGTTCTCATCACAACATTACAATAAAGAAACTTTTTTTTGAATAAAGTATTCGATTATTTTCAGTTACCGCTGTCACCTATTGATATATCGACTTACACTGCTGTTTGTTCCCACGATTTGTAACTTATATTCATTTTTTTTATTTCTGATGTTTGTTCGAATACTTAAAATACAATATCTGAAAATAAGTTATGATAAATAGGAGTACTATTTTACATTTATTAATTGATTACATATTTATTATCTAGACAAACTAGAGAATATGTGATTGTTATGAGTACTCATACAAATTTTTCATACAATACTTCACATGGATTTCAGAAAACATGATTAAAAATGTAAAACTTTTATCATATCAATAAAAAAAAGAATATTAACGAATATTGTACTTAAAAAAAAATCATATAATGAGTACGTTTTTCAATTTGTAAAGTATTAAAGGAATTAGAATGAAATAGTATTTAATAAAAATATTTCTTATATTTTACTCAGATCTTTTAGAAAACAATCTAATCTCAAGACTTAGCATGTTTATCAATAAGAAGATTCTTGAAGAAGCATCAATTGAAATACAGAATTGATCTTATATTTTTCTTGCAAAACAAAAAGGACAAGTATTTTTCAAGTTTAAATATCAATCGATTATTTCAAGAAACAACTAGTATGATTCATTAAAATGAATTTTATTCAATAAGAGAGAGACAAATGCATTTCTTTGATTTTCATTTTATCATAATTTTGTTTATCAGAAAGAAAGACATTATTTTATGATTTTGAAACATTTAGTCTGCTTATTATAGTGTAGTAAAAGAAGTTATATTGAAGCAAAGCAGCTTCAATATCAACTGACAAACATAATAAAAATTTATCATTTTGAGCTATAAAATCAGAGAAATTCGAAATAAAGTCATATGACAGTAAAACTATTCATTGATCATTGAAAATATTCTATCTGTTGATTATTTCTTATTTTTAGTTATCGAATATTTTGTCAATTGAAATTTTTTTGTCTTTTTCAGGATGCAATAATTAAATATTCTAATTCAAATTTTTTCTATAAGGCACATGATAAATTCTATTAATTAGATCGATTAAAATATGAAGTGCTCATATTGTATTATTTTGTGAAACACTACCTAAAAATAATGTTGAACTGTATAGGGGGTAGAAATGTGAACACCCTTTTCCCTGTCAGATGTGACAGACATGGATAATAATAAAATAAAAGTACAATATATTTTCATTAACTAATATACGATGCAAAAGTAATGACACAAAATGTCAATCCTTATATATCTTTGGTATATAGACTCTGAAAAGAACATCTTTTTATCATTTGATAAGGAATTTTGAACTCTTGCGAACAATGTATGATTCATATTCGTCAGATTTTTTTAAATGAAATGAGACGAGAAAAAAAGAAAAACAATCGCGCAATAAATTTATAATGTTTCTACGAATTCGTAAAAAACATATTATAGATGATAACTAATTACATCTCACTGTCGTTTTTAACAAATTCATAAAAGTCGAAATAACCACGGTTTAATAAGACCTTTTCAATGAGTCCACAAAGATATTTTACGAATTCATAGTAAAATTAATAATTTTTTGCGCAGATGTTTTTTTTTCTCGTGCTTATTTTATTTACGAGTGTGATGAACATAAATCATAGACTATTTGGAAGAGTAGAAAATTTCCTATCGACTGATAAAAAAAACTTTTCGTTTCAAAACGTGTTTGTCAAAGAGTTTCTTTTCAGTAGCCCTTTCTGAAAGAGAAATATGGATTAACATTTTGTGCCATTATTTTTGCATCGTAAGCTATAATAAAACAGTAATAAATAGGTTTATTATTCCTTCAAAAAAATCAAAGCATCATAGCATGCAAGATCATTCATATATTTAAGCTTTAAATAAAACAAAAACAACTAAATCATTGAACGACAAATATTGAAATAGAATAGAATTGCTAAAAGAAATTTAAACGATATTTAATACAAATAAAAAATAATCAAACAAAAACATAAAATGAGTTTCTTATCTAGATTTCTTCTTGTTGAAGAAAGAGCCATTTTTTTATCTCGAATCTTTCATCAGCAAGTGCATGTATACATGCCTTTTTTCTAAGAATAGATGTTGGCGTATTCATAATTAATTGAATCTTGTTTTGTGGACAATGGTTTTTCAAAAGTGCTATTCTACCATTATAATCATTAGCATCATGATTAACACAATTTTTTTTCCGAGCTATATAACAATTTGAAACTTCTCCTCTTTCCAAAAGCATACGATCAACAGCATATGCTCCAAAACCAGCACCTCGTCCACCGTCTGCTAACAAAAGAATAATGCCTACACCATATCGAATAATAAGTTGTACAGATTGTTTCAAACGATCACGATGCATGACATGGCGAAGTGGAAATCGATTGAATAATGATTCCACTTGCAGTCGTACAATAGGGTAATGAGACATATCAGCTGTACCATATGTGAGAATGACAAATTCACGAGTGGTGATTATGTCATAATATACATGGATCTAGAACAGTAAATATAAATTGTAAGACATATGCATTGTGTTCAACAAGCGTTATGCGAAAATCTAAATGTTACATAATGTCATGTGATATGAAACTGAACTTTAAAGAATAATGGAATTCATAGGAAAGAGAATATCTCTAGTTTAGAAAGTACTCTAAGTGTATATTTCAATTTACCTTAAACCAATATGGTGTTGTTAGCAGTTCACATACAGGATCATTTTGACAATGTTCTTCATGTTTTCGCAAATTATTCGAATCGATTTTGATTAAGAATCGATTGTTTCGTAGAGACTGATAACGAAGTATACAGGGATTCGGCATATTGATGTAGTAATCAATCGGTCGGTATTTAAATATATCATGAAATTGTTGATCAGTTAGAAGAATTTCATCATTGATTGGCTTCATAGGCAAGTAGTATGAAGCACAATGAATGAAACGTTGAGCATTGGATACTACGTATGGTTTGAAAAGAGGAACCGGTTCCGGTGCTAACTTGCCGCGAAGTGTTGAGTGACTAGCACTACGCAATAAATGACCACTAGCTAGTTTAGACGATAAATAGGCAACGTTGAAGGGTGATGATTCGACTTCGAGTGGCTCAGTACGTATTATCTGCAGCTTAAGATCTTTCATTGCTTGAATTTTATCTGGATTATTGGTAAGTAAAATGAATTTAGCATTATCAATGCCAAACATACCACAAATTTGTGGAATATTTTCATATTGTCGATGATCTTTCTTCAAGCCCATAATATCATATGCTTTGAATGTTGTGATTTTATCATATGATGCTTGTACAAGCATTCGATCGCGTGCTTTTGCAACATAACCAGCACCACGACCTTCTTGTAAAAGATAGAATAGAATGCCATGTTTCTTTTCAGATATTATTTTGATAGCGCCTTCTAACTGTTGCACACAATCACAATCACTTCCACGCAAAGTCTCACTTGTTACACATGATGAATGAAGACGAATATAAAATGGTTTGTCCTTCTTCTCAATGTTTCCATAAGTTAAAGCCATAATATAATGTTTTTCAATCAAGTCTTGGAAGATATACGCATGAAATTCACCAAAACGAGTCTAAAATGAGCATATCAGAAAGTGTTTATTCAATATATGTAAAAAACGATACATTCTTATGCTTAATATTAGCTAAGATATAATTACTGACATATAGCTCAGAAAATGAACTTAATGGTAATTCGAAAGATTTATCTTATAACTAAAAATAACTAGAATGTAAGACGAATAACTTTAAAGAAAAAAAAAACCGTGAGCAGATACTATTACACAAGAGAAGACAAATAAAAGGAAAGTAAATCGATAAAGTATGATGAGCTAATGAACAGTTATAACAAAGAAAATTTTCAACAGTTTTGAGTATTGAAGCTTCTATGTCAAAGTGTTCAAACAAGAGACATTTATGCATTTGATTAAGAATAAATATTAAACTCTCTGCCCCTCCCCCTCAAACAGTGGTCTTGACTTCGGAACATTCGAATCATATGAAATTTTCAGGGTATATTGGGACTGTTGTTAAAAGGCTATGATAAAATTGTCAGCCCTATATCATGATGTTTTCAGGGGATATTCAACTAACGAGAGCTAAAATATAGTTCATTTGGCAACCCAAAATTCTCTGTGCGCCTTCATTATATAGAATTGATTTTGTTTCATAGAAAGTCCATGTCAAGGTGCAGGGCATGACAGAGCCTCTTTTTTTTTAAATTCTTACTTTTTAAGTGGAGAATAGGGAAGACAATATCACGGTCTCGAATAACTCTCAAAAAATAGCCCTCTAATAATAAAATTACTTTTTCATATATTACATAGTAACAAAACTTAATTAAAAAAAAAGAAGTCTATCACGTCCTTCATCTTAACATACACTTTCTCTCAAAAAAAAAGACTTATTACCTACAATGAAGCTCCTTCGTGAATTCTGAGATGCGCACCCAGAAAAACATAAACTGAGAAAAATCGAAAAAGATTTCGGCCTATCTTCCCATATACTTATTTCAATTTTCATGCTTTTGACGAAAACTGTCTTTTTATAGGGGAGAGAACTTAAAAAAGCATGCATAAACTTCTCCATAAGATAGAAAAACAGCATCTGCACGCAACTAGACAAGATAGTTGTTATAATTTAATTTCATTGCTACCTTAACTTATAAAAAGTAAACATAGTAAATCAGAAACTACATATACTACTGATTCAGTCGTTTAGGATATTTGTTTCTTTTTTATATACTTTGCTCGAATTCAAAAAGAAAAAAGACAAAAAAATATTTTCAATCAATAAAATTAGTTCGAAAACCTAACTTGACAAATCTATTTTTTACTTTCTACTTTGTGTACTATTACGAAAAAAAATCTTACATCAACATTGCATTCGGCAATATAGAGTGTTGTGCCATGTAAAGGTCGCATTTCAGTTGTGCGGCACGAACGTTGTATTTTATCTGTGCCAGTTGAATTTAAGATTGTTTTGACTAATTCACCATTGCTTGTGATTATTTGATCCACCAGATCTATATGCTTGATATGTACAGAACTTGATCTATCTGACAGCAAATTATGTATGTTGTGCTGATTCTCTGTCACACCAAGGTCATCGCCACATGAGTCGCTGCTATCATCATCCAATACACTATATTTTTGTTTGTGTAACACGCCTAGTTCATCCTCAGTTGTAATCACAATTGATACGGAGCAATCAGATGACATGGTACCAGGTGAGTCAGAATCGGCCGAATCAGTCATTTTTATAGCGTCTTGATCAATTAAATTGAAACTTTGTTCTATTTTTCTCTTGAGAAACATACAGATTTGAATAGAAGAAAACAAAGTCTTTTATAGGAACTATGATAAATGATAGTTATATTTTATCGGCGAAACCCACAACTGATAAGTTTACAATGTGATCTAACACATCTGTTGTATATTAATGTGTCCTCAAATCGTTACTAGCTTATTTTTTTGGAACTTGAATACGAAAAGAAACGTTCTACGCATATATTCTTGCGCCACGTTTAATATTACGGCCAAGATAAAGAAAATGAAATATCAATAGAATGTTACTTCCTTTAAAAGTAAGTTTCGAATACACAGGTGAAGTCATTTCTTTGATAATACGCGTATTTGGTTTTCTTTTTCTTTTAAGAGTAAATGAAAGATTTCTTGCTCATAGTAACATCGACAATAGTCATATGATCGAATTTGTTCATTTTCGCCGATTTCAAAATTGTCTAATCGTTTCATAATCGAAAATGAGTCTCGACGAAATCTCATTAGTTCTATGTTTAATATTATATTTTATTGAAGTAATTAAGTCGTCAACTTTTAGAAACATAGAACTTCATCAGAAGAAAGAACTAAAGAGGGCCGATAACTATTGTGATTGACTTCCGTCGAATCATTTACTTTGTTCTATGTCAAACTATTCCATAAGATATCCACAAGTTAGATCTAGCAGAATTAATTATATAAGACTTATTTGTCCTATGTACTGATCGATGAACATAGTCAGTAACCATCATGTGTATACTGAGTTCAATTGCTGATGATAATTATATGTTTTTATGTACCTATCTCATGAGTGATCAGATATTTTCATATTTCAATAGCAGTTTTCAAGTGCTCCTCAATGCTAAAAAACAAAATTACTGCCCATTTCAAAATAAAAGGCACATGAGTATTTTTTGAATAACTTTTGATAGAAACAAGATTGCGGTTTTAACCGTTAGAAAGAGCAGATGAAAACGCATCAAACCATACAAGACAATGAATTTTAGCTTGGATTTTTGAAACCTTTTGCAATAGTTGAACAAAAACATGCTTTAAAAACAGGTCTGATTTTTCCAGAAAAAACGAAAAAATCTGAGTTTTTTAACAGAAATCGCTGCCAAATGGACTATAATTTTTGGAATATGGTACGTAGAACTGCCAAACCAGTAAAGCTTTGAATAAAACGTTATATATAGTTTTGTAGTTCTTAAGCTGGCGATTCTAGCACACTTCTCAAAGTTTGAGATTTGTTCTACCTTCAAAGAGCAATAGTCTACTCTTTCAAGATGACAATGGATCACTACCTATTTTTGAGATAACCCGTAACAATTTTATATGAGTTCATGCGCTGAATCAGCCTCTTTCTAACGGTTAAAGCCGCAGCTCTCTATCTTGTTCCTATCAAAAGTTATTCAAAAAGTACCCAAGTGCCTTTTATTTTGAAATGAGCAGTAGTCACTAAAAGAAATCCGAAGACTACTGTTCTTGACACATAGTTTTTGTGAAACACGATCTGAAAGGAGTGTTGAAGTGTATAGGGTAGAAATTTTGCACCCCCCCCCCCCCCACAGACCGTGACAGAGAACCCNAGATGATCTTTGAATAGAATAATGACATCAGGTGTAGAATGAATCTTTCAGACATTTTCGTCTCGTTCAGAACGTGGTAGTTGTGGCATCTACACATACACTACTTGACAAAAGTATCCCCTCCCCCTCGGATCTCAGTCCATACAAGAACTGAACGGGTGAAAATAGGTGTGCAGGTAGCCCATAAAGAATGTAGGTCGACGGGATCACCTACACCATAGTGACTCGAGTAAGAATGGAGTTCTAATGCATGTCATTGGTATGCATTGTGAACTTGATAACTCGAGAAAGGTAAGATATTTTGAGTCGGCCAATCTCTCATTTTGCAGCCCTACCTAGTAGCTATTTGCACTAAAAATTTCATTAAAGTTCATCTATCTATTGATGAACTATGATCATTTTAGTATAAATATTGATATACCGAAAAACTATATCATACCATTGAGAGATTAATAACTTAGTGATAGTTCAATGAATTCATCTGAAATTTTCAGGAGATATTCCCCCATCATTGGGTATTGTGTCCTGAAAGTTTCAGAAGCAAATCTCTTACTAATGAGAAATGGCATGTGAATGGCTGTTGGGTTCTTGTCAAGCCTCTAGACTTCCTATAACTCGAGCAAATGGCTTCATCTTTTGATTACCGAAAGAGCATAAGTTGGGCTCCAATTCTGTGCTAAAATATTGATAATTACTTGTATATTTGCTAAAAAACAATGCTTACCTTAATAAGTTCTTTTTTTACCCATTTTTGCCAGCATGAGTGCAAGCCATTGGCTATTTGAAAATCGTACGCTTCAATATATCTATGATTAATTTTATTATACTTATCAACAATTTCAAGGTGAAAATGTTGTCCTTTAATGCAGTCAGACACGGTGAGGATGCTTTCCAAAACTTTCAAGTCACTTTAATATACCTAGCCAACAATAGATGAACATAGGACAATGTTCACTGATACTGACAGAAAATGGGTAAAAAAAGAACTTATTAAAGTAAGCATTGTTTTTTAGCAAATACACAAGTAATTATCGATATTTTAGCACAGAATTGGAGCCCAACCTATGCTCTTTCTGTAGTCAAAAGATGAAGCCATTCGCTCGAGGTATAGAGAGTCTAGAGGCTTGACAAGAACTCAACAACCATTCACATACCATTTTTCATTATTAAGAGATTTGCTTCTGAAACTTTCAGGACACAATACCCAATGATGGGGGAATATCTCCTGGAAATTGCAGATGAATTCATTGAACTATCACTAAGTTACTAATCTCTCAATGGTATGATATAGTTTTTCGGTATATCAATATTTATACTAAAATGGTCATAGTTCATCAATAGATAGATGAACTTTAATGAAATTTTTAGTACAAATAGCTATTAGGTAGCGCTATAAAATGAGGGGTTGGCCGACTCAAAATATCTTACCTTTCTCGAGTTACCAAGTTCACAATGCATACCAATGACATCCATTAGAACTCCATTCTTACTCGAGTCACTGTGGTGTAGATGGTGCCGTTGACCTACATTCTTTATGGGCTACCTGCGCACCTATTTTCACCCGTTCAGTTCTTGTATGGACTGAAATCCGAGGGGGAGGGGATACTTTTGTCAAGTAGTGTAAGTATGCAAGTCAAATTTTGTTCGCTCAATGTGAAATCAAGCTTTTACCAGTATATAAACGGCAACAAAAAATGAAGTTCTTTATAAAAAAGATTACAATAATTATCATTCATTCATCGATCTACTTTTATGCTGGTCTCTTAATTTCATTAAGCATGACAAATTACCCACAAATCAGCACAGACAGAGTTTATTCTAAGTGCTGCCTCGATGAGTACCACGATCATGATTTCTAAGAGAGTGTACGCCAATGCCCAGTTGTCTTCCCATGTGATCAGCCAGAAGAATATTTTCTGTTTTCAATTTAAATATCTTAAACGGAATGTAAGGTCGAGAAAACTCTGAGACTTTCTACAACATAGCAACAAAATTCTTTTCGTCTCTTTCTGATAATTGTGAAATTTGCCAGNGTCAAGTGATAGAAAAAAAACGACTTTCTTAGGGTAAATCAAGAAGACGAGTTCGAATCTGATCTGTATTCGCCCCCAAGTCATATTGGGTGAGCAATAGCCAATAGAAGTCAAGTGTTTATAGGAAATATTTGCCAGGATAATTTTGATGTCCACACATTCTAGGATGACTCATCTGTTTAATTCACTTTTTGAAGTACACATAACTCTCGGATTTAAATCCGAAGTTTCCACATTTATTATTAATTAGTTTTTTGCGTGATCAGTACTTTTAGATAATGTTTTATAAAATCAGAAATAAATAGCACTATTCTAATTGACTTTTACTCAAAAACTATGCAATTTTATTCTGATTTTACGTTAAATTTTTTTAAATGAGTTTTACACTTTGCAACTGATAAAAGTCAAGGATTCCTAATCTACACACAAGGTTGAATGCACCATCAATTATATTTAATGATATGAATGTTATTGAAGTGAAATAGTGTCACTAAAAATAGTAATCCGTCTGGCTCTTTGAAATTAATCAGCGAATTGTTTTTGATCTTGAAAGCATATATTAATAAATGATAGTGTTCAAAAATTTGGAATACCCATAAACTCATCTTACTCTTTCAGTTCAATAAGTCCTCTTATGTTGTATTTTCAAGCATTAAAATTACTCGACCATATTTAAATCATCATCACTATGATAAAATTTTTCTTTTTTACAATTTTCTAATAAATAATTGCAGTGGTTGTGGAGTTTCATCATGTAGAAATGATTTTTGGAAACTAAACATAATTTTAATAATGCTATTCTGAGTTGGATCGATCCTACCGAGCATATACTCTGACCCTATGAATTATTTAATGACATAAATTTTTATTCCTCTTCTTAAAATTTGTCGAAAAACCTTGTGGAAAAGCGCCGCTATTAAGGATTAGTAGACTTCTTTACTATGAATAAAAAAAAAAACTCCTGAGAAAATTATATCCAATCTCAAACTACTCCTCTCGCTCTATCGATTCGAAAAAAACTCATTTTTCTTTCATATCGAGTATTTTTTATAGAAACATATATTTAGTATCATGAACTTTCACAGAATTTCTCTCTGTTTGTAACACGTATATAGCGTTAACACTAGTATTCATGAGTTGAGCTAAAAGTTTCACCTAAACTCATTCTTCTCTCGACATAAAAACACTTTCATTGACAACTAACTTCATGTGTGCCAACATAATCTCAATTGAAAGACTTTCTTCTTAATTTAAAATCTAACTTAAGCCTATTAGTTTTTATTTACTTATAACCGGCATCAAGAATGCTATATGCATAAATTGATCCACTACCAACTGAGAATAAATTATCACTAATACGTTCACCATCATCTGATACCATATATAAACCAGGGCCCTAAATGAATACAAGAAACAAAAATAATGTTATGATATAATTTTTCTATGAATATACTCGTTTATCCCAACCAATAATCATTGTACCCATTGATAAACCCATTCCACGATATTCAAAGATCATATTAGCAAGAATTTTTGATGCAGCTGCAACAGATATTTTTTCTTTATTACGTAGCTCATATATACGACAATGTCGAGCAAGTACACGTTCCCAAAAGGCACAATCAGCAGCACCACCAGCCATTGTACCCAATAAATATGGATTAATTTCAATAACTTTTTTTACTTCTCCGGATGCTAAAAAGAAAAGGAGGTCGGGATCTATAATAAGAAATTTTCTTAATAAACTAAACATACCAATAAATCCACCGGCTGTTGCACGACTATCAACAGCTACTATAACTCCATTACGAAATTTAAATGCTAATGTTGTTGTACCTTTAAGAAATTTTATTTTAACTCGATCAACATTTTCATTGACCATATTTAAGTACTTCGCAGGCTTAACAACAACAATAAAAAATTATACAGAAAAGAAAAACAAAATACTTTACATCAGCATATGGTGGTAAAGTAATAAATTTTGAAATATTATCTATATTTAATTTTGGACAAAATTCATCAATATTATCATCTGTTTTTTCACATTGAAGTGAACGATTGAATGTATCATTAGAATTAAAACCAAGTACATTAGCTAATGCCATGTTTATATAATGATGATGATGATGATGACCAAAAGAAAAGGGATGATGATGACTTTTCTTACATCGAATCTCATTGATCAAATCATGTTAACCAATCATCATTATCCCTACAATCAATGTAATTCAAAAAAACAAAAAACTTTTAAACTAATTTCAATAAAATCTAATTTTATTTTTATATTTCTAATTTTATTTTAAAAGTATTCTTTTTTTTGTAAATTTTTGACCTTGTCATATGATCCATACAATACCCAAAACTAATATATATATATATTTTTTTCCGTCTCAATAAAAAATTAAAGAATCGTTTCTTTTTTTTGTTGCTATTGATGATTTATCTATTTTATAAATAAATAATGACAACATCTTCATCATCTGCTCTTTCACCTGAAGCAAAAGAATTTGTACCATTCGTTCAAATTCCTTCGTCAACAACAACAATTCCATTATACATTAGTGAAAATACTATTGCATCTGTTTATTCATCTGAACAACAACAATTAGTTTATCCATTAATAAAAGTTCCTGAAATTGAATTTCATATACAATCATCACAACAATTTCATATTGATTCATGTTCAAATAATCAAACACAAACATCAACAAATACGAATCCATCACAAATTGTTCTTTTACCAACAAATACATGTTATCCCGAAACACAAATACTTTATCCATCAAATGATCAAACATCAACATTTTATCCAATTGATTATACTGAACAATCATTAACAAATTATTCATATCAACAACCAAAATCTAATCGAATCTCATCATTTCGTCAACAACGTGGTGGTGGTATTAATCATGCATCATATCATTCGAATAATTATCGAAATAATCATTATGATCAACAAGACACAACAACTTTTAATAATCGACGAAATTTTTATCCAACAAATAATAAAGGAATATCAAAACGGATTCTTTCTCGTTCAATACAACAACAACATGATAAAGCACAAAATGAGAATTTAAATTATGAGAATGGTTATCATATGAATGATGATGAAACTTCATTTGAATTTCGACAAGAAGACTTTCCAAGTCTTCCAATGAATAATAATCAACAATCTGATAATATTGTAGCTCAATCAATTACATCGACAAATACAAAGTTAGTAGAAATAATAAAGTGCAAAATCAAAATATCATCCGCTTTATGATTTCTTCGAAGAATGTTGAAATATAAAAACAAAAATAATAAATTTTTTTCTATGCATCCGAAACTCTCATACATATCAAAGTTGAATTCAATTATTTAAGAATTAAAAAAAAACTTCCACTTGTAATTAATCTTTTATATCTATGTCGCGGCTAGACATATGCAGGGTCAGAGTGAAAAACAAAATTTGATGTCACACATGTCTAGTCGGTGTCCCATCTCTGATCCATATTCATTTGCTGTATACAAAGTAAAGTTTATCCTTATTTATGTTTTGACACTACTAAAAAAGAGCATAAATCTAAACAGATTAGGAGAGTTTGGACATTTTTTAAAATCGTTTTAGATTGCACTATCAAAAAATGTCCAAACCTGTACGTATTTTTTCAGTAGTTTGAAAACATAAAGGAACAATTAACTTTATTGTGTAGACAGAGATGAGTATAGATCGCGGCTCTTCAGTGGGCAGTGTGTTTTGATGCAGATACAAAAAAGTTAGTCATATAAGAAAATTATTGAAATCAACTTTCAAGTTTAACAAATGTGACAGATTTAAATATGCAAAAAAGAAAATATCGTGACTAAAGTATGATTTCATTTTAGATTTAACCGTACTTTGCATTTCTCGAATAAAACATAAAGCAAATTTATTTATTTTTATCAAAATCTGCATGAGACGAACTACCCTTCTGTATATATATCTAGTATTTATTGACTTTACATGTACTTTTCCTATGTTGAATTTTATTACTCTATCAAAAAACTAAATAAATTTTCATAAAACAATTCTTTTAGACCAACAACTTCCTGGAATACAATTGTTTCTGCTCCACGACCACATTCCACATCTCCACATTCAGTTACAAATTCTTCAAAATTATCTGAAACTCAACAAACTGATCGAAGTCATTCATCAAATAAAAAAGTAGTATTAAATAATGAACGAAAATCTTCTAATAATAAAAAATCTTCATTACAATCAAAATCGAAAATATTAAATAATACTTCCAAACAAATTCCTTTAAACGAACAACAACTTTCACAATCGGTGACTAATAATGATGAATCATTGAATAAACAAGATAAAAAAGTTGATAATACAAAAGATGATGGATTTATACAAACAAAACAAAAACAAAAACGTTCAGAACGACGAAAAAATAAAGTAAAAGAAGAACAATCAATAATAGTTGAAACAGTACCATTTGTACTTGATGATGAAAATGCATTTCCCACATTAGGCCAAGATGTATCTATATCAATACCAAAAAAATCCGAAAATGATTCTTCAACAAAAGATAAAAGTATTTAGAGAAAAAATATTTTTATTTAGTCTACATTTTTTTGTTTGTCTTTTTTTAGTTTCTACTCCAGGATTGATTATAAAATCAAAGATAAAAGCAAATCAAACATATCAAATATGTTTAACCGATATGTTCAATGCTTTAAGTACATCAACACAAATAAAACAAGATAATTCTCTTAATAAAACAAATAAATCATCAATACAAACAGTAAATACTGCTAATCCACTTGATTCAAAACCAGTACCAAAACGTGGAAAAGAACGTGAACAACCAAAACCACGTAAACCAACGAAACTTAAACGTATTATTAATAAAGAACTTGAAGAAAATCAAAAACAACGACAACAATTACTTGTTAAATCTACAACACTTAAACAAACTGATGAAAAAGATATTCAAAATGAAACTGATACTAATAATCCTACTGTTATTGATGAGTAAGTTAACCTTTTTGTTTTATTTTTCTGCATGCCCTGTTGCTAGTAAATAGTGCTTTTCTAACCTAAAAATATTTCCTTATGCAATTATTCTTGCTTTTGTCTTGTTCTGTGTGCATTAAAAAAAATTCAGCTTTTAATTGTGTATGCACCATTATTCGGTGTCAATATTGGTTCGTTTCAGTTGTATCAATGATCGTCTTATCAATGTATATCCTGTTAATACGAATGAATATACCAGTGCATCCTGTACAGAAGAATCAAATAATGAAACCGATGATGATGATGATGATGATGAAGATGATGATGATGAAATACTTGATCATGAACCAACAAGTCAATTACAAACACCCTATGCTCAACAAATGCCTCAGTCAAATATAAAACAACAAATTCATGATGGTGGTTTTCGTGAATATTGTTCACAATTAATTGATCGTCAATTAGATGAACTATGTGTACAATTATTAATAACATTAAAACGTTTTCAAGATCGTAAAAAACAACAATATCAATCAAATCCTGAACGTGCACGTCGTAAACGTCGTTATGTACATGGTATACGTGAAGTAACAAAACATTTACGTTTACAACGTTTAAAATGTGTTTTAATTGCGCCAGATTGTCAATCAATACAAAGTCAAGGTGGTCTTAATGATGCTATTGATAAAATAATAAATATATGTAAAGAACAAAATGTTCCATATATATTTACACTTAATCGTCAAAAATTAGGTCGATGTTTAAATAAAAGTTCACGTATATCAACTATTGGAATATTTGATTATAGTGGTATTGATCAAGTTTATAAACAAATTATTGATATAACATATGAAAATCAACGTGCATATAAACAAATTATTGATAATATATTAAATCATGATGAAACAATAACAACAACACCATCACATGGTTTAAATAGTCGTGAATTTTATAAAATTCTTCATCGAACATTCCAACAACAACAACCGCGTCAACATGTTGTTAATATAATACCAAATGAATCATTATCAAAAGTTTTACCAAAAGTTCCAGCACATTATGCACATTCTCGACAAACATCAGATACATCAACAATTTATATTGATCCACAATTAATTAATTCAATTAAAAAACAACATACACGTGCATCAAGTGGAACATTTGATACGGGTAAAACATCAACAAAAAAAAATCATCAACGAACTTTATCAGATGGTGCAACAAATATTATTAATGATACATCTGTACAAACGAAAAATCATATAAAAACACATTCACGTACACCATCTGGTTGTAGTGTTATAAGTCAAATTGAACAACAAGATTATTTTGAACAATCAAAAAATATTTTAATGAATAATAATAATAATAATGAAATACCTATTGATAATGATGAAAATCGTTTAAAATCTATTCATGAAGATACAGAAGAAAATGCAGCGAATATTAAAAGAAAAAATGTGGAAAATTGGATTAATAATAATACTTAAGAAAAAAAACAACAAAGAAAAAAAATAATAATGATGTTGAATTTAATTGATGATTGTAAAGAAATATTATCTCATTTGAAACATTTAATAAATTATTTGATGTTTGTTTTATTTCATGACTGTATTATTTTTTTTTTTTTCTTAGTATTTTTATATATGCGATATTGGGCATTTCATTGTTGCTTTTGCTTTTCTGTGTATATATACATACATGTGATTCTTTTTTGTTTTTTGTTTTACTGACCACTATTCATTGATTCGTCTATTCTAGAAATCATCAAAATTCATTTATATCAACTTCCAGCAGTAATAGTAGTAGTGATACGAGTGATTATGATGATGCAGTTGATACATTTGACGATGAATGAAATAAATTTTTATGAATAACTATACGTTTATATTATTTTTTAATTTGTTTCACTTATCATTTACTATTCTACACAATATGACTTTTGTTGTTAGTATGTTGTTTGTCTTGTTCGTTTTGACTTTCTTAAAGTGCAATATAAGCACAACAACAAAAAAATATTGTTTTCGATTTTCCATTTTATTGCAACCAAAAATTAACAAATAGAAAAGCGATTTATGTCTTTCAAAATATTTCTTTTATTTTAATCATATCGATTCTATGTCAAGTTTACCTTAATTTTTGTCGGACGCTTATTTTGTGTTTTCTGTGTATGTTTATTTGAATTATCTTTTATGGTATTTTTCTTCTGTCAATAATCATTATTAATAATATGCACAATAAAAATAACGTGCTTTTCGTTGTGAAAAGAATTATATTTTATTAACAGCTTGAAATATGCAAATTGCATCATTTTTATTGGAAGAAAGATCAATGTAACGTCTAGAATGGAAGTGATGTATCTCGGCATAAAGTTACGTTGGAAACTTGTCGTCTGTACCATTCGATCAGCGTCAGAGATTCTGCGTATAGCTAAATATGTAGATAAGATCCCAATAAGTTCTTGAAAGTGTACTTTGGTAGATTATTATGCGCATATTAGACATAATCAAACTCTAATAATTATTCAGGCTTTGCATAACGAAATAATAATCTACAAAAGTATACTTTCACAAATTCATTCGGATCTAATCTATATATTTAGCTATACGCCGAATTTACTTATAATATCAAATTAACTTTTCGAGTTTTCTTCAGTTGCGAAATTGAATATAGCATATAAGAACGTGTACTAGACTGACGTCTATCGAATGGTGCAATTAAAAATAGCCTTAATCCTACAGCAAATGAAAACGGGGGGAAATGTATTGCATTAGCGTAACCATCGTGTCAAGCTCTGTCGCCTAGACTATATCTTACGCGGATCGGAGATTCAGAAGTAGATATGTTTCTTCGTTAGATGACATGTCCGTACGCATGTCTCCAAAATGATATTCTTTTTGACGGAAATTGGCTTTTTCAAGGCGGTGAGCCTTAAAAAAGCAAAGAGAAATCTCACTTATTCTAAGATCATGTTCTTCAATGGTAGTCTTCATTCTCTTCTTCATTTTCGTCATTGTTCTCAATCGCTAGACGAAGCGAATGTTTTCATGAGACATTTTTATATTACATATGAAATATTTTTCTAGAGCTTTCCTAGAAAATCTCAGGGTTATTCAAGTCCATCTTCTGTGTTAAGTTTGCAGATCATAATAGACGCGTCATAAAGCACAACATTTACTACGCTAATGTCTATCTTAAGGTTACCAAGAGCGAGGAACATTTGTTATTTCAATCATAGTATAGCGAAAGAATACAGCCAATCATACACGAGTCAATTATCATTTAAACTTTTTAGGCATTTACAAGTGTCGTTTTAAAAACAAAACAGTTTGTTGATATGGACCAAGACAAGCACAATATCAATCAGTTTGGTAAATGCTCCTTTTTTCATTCACTATGTTGCTATTATCACATTATTGAAATATCTAGAAGACATTAAATGTTCGACATGTCATCACGACAAAGTTAATGAATATCAATTAACTAATGTCCATTTCAGAGTTACATATATGTGGGCATTTTTTGAATAACTTTAAAATAAAAAGAGACAAATGACTCCGGTTTTCAACACTATCTAAAGTTGACATTACTGGATCTTTTTATAAAGTACACAAAAAAATCCAGTTGCTTTTCTTCCGAGATACCGCATTGGTTTTAAAGATGATCTTAATCCGCTTCGAAAGCAATATGGTTTCTAAACTATAATATAATGAGCAGACAGCTTAGCTTCGCCTTTATCGATCAGCACAAATCCGAGATCGATAGCTGTTTCCCTTCATAAGATATAAAGAATTTATTGAATGCTGCTCATCAAAATTTTTCAAAATCTATGTAGTTAACAAATATCTCTATATAAATGTTTAGCTGTCTTTCACTTCATGACATAATTCATTAACCTTTGGAGTTTGTTTTCCTACTAAGAACATCATTAGAATCAATAAATTCAATTTATTTTGCAACAATGGGTCAGTATTTTCATTTGATTCAATAATAGTCTGTGATATGATAGCGCGTTCGTGAACAGTTTCACTTAGTATAATTCTGTTACACAAGTGTTGTAGCTCACTGTGCATGAATCAAATCACATTTTTCTTTCGAATGAAACTATTTTTGAATCGGTTTGTGTCAGAAACGTACAGCCAGAAATTTTCTAAGGGGGGTGCCCGCCAGCAGAGAAAATTCTTGACCATCGGAATAGTTTTTTAGTCCTGTACTCCCCTCCAGGGATTTTTTTCTCCAAGGGGAGAGGTGTTTGGGCATCCCCCTGGCTTGTGCTGTCTTAATATGTGTGTATTGACTTTTGTCTTGCTTTGAACCAATTTTACATAATCCACATATACCCTAAATAGACAGCGAGAGAAGAATGAGGAGCGAGTGCAGTGATCAAACTTTAGAAAATAATGGTGAAATTTCATGATAGGAGTGGGTTATCGATACATATTTATCTATAACCTGATTTTTAAAATGTTACTTTAGATTAAATAGAATAATGTCGAAGATATATGGTTTAGATGCGACGGAAGCAACCAGCTACATCAATGATATCAAACAGTATAAGCCAACACTTAAAAGGGCAAACATTTATGTCGAAAAGATTGAAGAAGATCTTGGTGATCATGATGACGATAATTATAGTACTTATAGTACTGATGATCCAGATGTTTGATGACTCTCTATGATGAATTTACGTTAATATCTTCAAATACCTTTTTGATTGATCGATTCGAATTCCCAATCTTTTTGGTATAAAAGCATCAATAACATAAAGGTCGGAAAGAGTTTCATGAAATATCAATTGCTTATCATAAAATAAACTGAATGCATGGATTCTGATGACGTTGTCAGTATGAAAACAAACTCCAAAGGTTAATGAATTATGTCATGAAGTGAACGACAGCTAAAAATTTATATACAGGGTGTCCCAAAAGTCCCTTCCATTTAAAAAATGCGTATAATTCTATTACTAAACAAGCTTAATCTAATATATATTTTTTAATTTGAAAGAGGAGAGTATAAAGTTTT